TATGCATTGAAATACTTTCCTTCAATATAATTTAGGGAATCTTTTTGGTAGAAATTAAAGAACGTTTAGTATCACCTCCTGTAAGCTGGAAGAAATAAGGTCTTGATAGTTTAGACAAAGGGATTTTTTGCACTTGGCTGAGGATGATCAGCCAAATAGATTATTAAGTAGCGAGAGCAGGAAGATCCATACTGCAGAGAGCGAACCATCAGTGAGGAGCGTAAAGCGCTGACTCTGAGCTACGCTCATGCAAAGATGCATTTCTGGACAAGCACAACTGGAAGATCAGAGCAGTTTGTCAGAGTTTAGCACACAGTATCAGACCATTAAAAGTTATTTTCTCCCCTGCTTCTGCTGCAATGGTTCATCTGTGGTCATGTAGAATGTGCAGCACTGCTCGCCAGGTGGGCTGCGTGACCAAAAAAAAAACGCAGCTGCACGGCTGATACTGCTTAGCTTTTCTATCAGATTAAAGCACAATGATGCATTTTAAACGTCTGACCAACCACCTGCTAATTGCTATTTAGTCTCGTCTCGTCGACGAAAACTTAAATCTATGTTTTAATCATCAAAGCCATGTTTAGCTCGTCAATTTTAATTATCATCTTAAAAAAACGTAGGGTCAACGAAATAATTTGGTCGTCATCGTTGACAAAAACAAAACTGGTTATATATTATCATTCATTATCATCTATATACTGAGTCTCAAGTTTTATGTTTTCGTTTTCTTAGAAATTGCTATTTATAATTACACAGGAACAGATCTCACATTTATGGAGCAGCAAAGAGCTAACAAACTAGTGACTGTTGAGATCACCATTACGCTAAAATGGGATTGTGGCAAGTTACACATATAAAATCTGTTTCTCAACAGAAGTTGACTTCAGAATCCAACCAGCATCCTCTTCAGTGTCCTCAGTCCTTCAAGAAGCTACTTCAGATCTGGCGCAAGACAGACCGCTAACAAAAAAAAGCTGCCCATGAGTTACTATAACATTTAATATCCTTTTCGTACTAATAAAGTATTTTTGAATTGAATTTCCCTAATATGGTGCATTATATTTAGTATACTGGCAGTAATATATTAGTGGTTTGCACTGTCATCTTCTATATCTCTAAATCAATACTTGACCCTTAACCCTTACAATCCGGCGTGTTACAGTACTAACATATAAATAAATAACAAAACAAAAAACTGTAGTATGTATTCAGCCTCCCCTTAGTAAATCAGTTATCCCTTTAACTTCAGCTTACCTGTCACTGCAGAAGAAAAAACACCAGAGCGTGATTTTGAACCCCCGTTTTTTAGGTGTGTTCAAACTGCAATCTTTTAAAACAAAATGATGCTTTCTTCTGTCTGAACTGCAATGCCAGGGATGAAATAAAAAGCTGTGTTTTGAGAGGAGAAGCATTGTAACAAACCACAGAGAAGAGACAGATGTTTGACTTAAGCCTGATTGAGTGCAGAAAAGCCCTGAAACTGGAAACAGCACAATAGAAAAGACTGACTGGCTGGACGTCATATCATTGATGGTCTATTACTTTAATGAACTGAGGGACAAGCCATAATTACAGTGAACTGAAAACTGATTAAAAAGCAATCTAGCAAAAAGTAATTGTAACGTATACTCCCCCTGCAAAGTATCTGAAAACTATGCCCCTGAATCAAAACGGGAACTGATTTTGCCTGACTTTTAAATCTTCTGGCCTGGTTTATTTTTGCGTTGGTCGCTGCTTGAACTGCGTCTCATTCAAACCAGTAACCCCAACTGTAGCGGCACTCCAGCTTTCCACTTTGGAAATCAGTCTATAGCATCAAGTATTGAAACAGGAGCCAAATATAATATTATTCAGCTTATGAAGGTTTGATAAAAGAAAACCAAAATGAAAGAAAATCAACATGGTGAATTTGGTCAATCAACTATGTTGCTTCCAGCATATTTGTTTCCCCCTTGTTCTTATGTACGTAC